ATAAGAATTGTCATACTGGTCTTCAGATGATGCAATGTATATTACGAGAAAGATTTTGGATAGTCAGAGCTAGAAAGGCCATTAAAAATGTCCTCTTTAACTGTATCGTTTGTAAAAGATTTAAAACTAAGGCTATGTCAAGCGAACCGACACCTCTGCCACTAGACCGAGTTACGGATTGTGCGCCGTTTCAAATCATAGGGATTCATTTGGCTGGATCCCTGTTTTTAAAAAATGGAGGAAAGGTGTGGATCTCGCTGTTCACGTGCGCTGTGTACCGTGCCATTCACCGTGAAATTTTTATTTATCTTTGTATTGATGCTTTTTTTCTGGCGCTTCGACGATTTGTTGCTAGGCGCGGACGCCTTAGAATAATCTATAGTGATAACGGGACACATTTTCGGGGTGCATCTAATGATTTATCAAAACTAAATTGGCCTAAAGTATTAAAGGAAACGGGAACTGAAAAAACGCTCTGGAAATTTACTCCACCTACTGCAGTTTGGTGGGGCGGCTGGTGGGAGAGGTTGGTTCGTACAGTAAAAGAATTGCTGAAACGCACTTTAGGTAAATCAGTGTTATCATATGAAGAACTTTATGCTATTATTTGTGATTGTGAAACTATAACTAATTGTAGACCCTGAACGTATGTTTCTGAAGATCGGCAGGAATTAGTTCCTCTTACACCGCCATGTTTCTTATCGTTAAGAGAAATTTCAATGTTGAAGATTTTGATGAATTAAATTCGTCAAGTCTTAATAAGTCATTAAAGTATAGAACTAAATTGTTAAATGATCTGTGACAACGCTTTAGAAAAGAATACCTTAGTCAATTGGTTCAAAAGCATAATGAAAAACGATCTCTGGAACCTGTAGTTGGAGAAATAGTACTGATGGGGGATGATAACAAAAAACGTTTATTTTGGCCCTTAGCCCGAATTACAGAATTGATCCCTGGACGTGATGGAAGGATTCGTACGGTTAAACTTAAGACCCGGCATGGAACAGTTGTACGACCAATACAACACATCTTTCCTCTGGAGATACAGTCCAATGATAGAAACATAATTCCTGATAAGAAACTGGGTGCAGAGGAATCTAATTAATTCTAGTGCTGGATGTACGTTAAAAAGGGGGAATTGCATTGCACCTGATAAAATGGTAATGCTGCAACAATATTCCTCCTCTGGACGACGACTTGTAAAAGCTCCAAAAAACTTGATCTTTTAAATAATGTTTGTTATGAGCTTGAGACTCAACATGAGTCTCAAGGGGGGAGGATGTTGTGAAATGAACTGAAGTAATAACTGGCGCGAGGCGCTGCTGTTCATGACGTCAGCCTGCGAGCTGAGTGTTTCGAATGGTTTGCTTGTAGACAGAACGAAAGCTGATCTCGGAAGCGTAAGACTGGTTTGATGAAAATAAAGAATGCTTATTAAGAATTTTTTTTCTTCATTCATAATGCACCCAGCCTCGGGTAGAGGCAGCCCGCAATTGAATGAACTGTTTTGAATATATTTGATTTATATGTTTTCTGTGTTCTTCGCAACAGCTATCATGGGGAAAAGCTCGGAATAAGTCTGTATTTAACGTCGCGTCATATTCTTTGCTTAGGATTCTTTTCGATTATAGCAGGAGTGCTAAATCTTTTCTAATCTTCAGACTCGGCGAAATTACTATGTTACCTATTAATTTAGCCGAGTCTGAAGATTAGAAAAGATTTAGCCCTCCCGCTAGGACGGACCAATAAGAATACAGGAAATTCACGAAGCTATTTTCAGAACTTAATTTTTTTCAATTTTCCCCATTCTATCTTCTTCAGCCAGCGTAGTTTTGCTGTCTGTTAGTCGGAGTACCTCCTGAATGTGTCATACACAAGGCTCATCACATCGCAACATCAAGAATCCTATTTCTAGAATTCTCAGCCAACATTCCCTAATGTTATGGTAAGAAAGTCATATCATTTCTACATGCGTTAGACACAGGATGTGACTTTTAGCTTATGCTCCTGTTCTCCATGTTTTTCGCACCTGAGCCTTCAAATGTCGGATCCGACAACTCAATGCGCATGCGTGATTAATGTTGGTGCAAATAGCATGGGCCAAAAGGGAAGATAACTCTGTTTGGAAGGCTACCTCAAACTTAAAAATGCTACACCAACATTCCGCTCTTAAATGGCCCTGATGGAATCGCTTACACAGAGACTGAGAAAGCAGAGTCGCTGGCCGATCAATATGATACTCACTTCTGTACTAACAACATTTCACACCCACCCACAGAAAACTTAGTCATGCAAACACTTTCCCATTTTCTAGCACAACCACACGCAAGCAACACTCCTCCAATCCTGCTTGAGAAAGTCTATGACTACATCGAGAAACTGAAGACCAGAAAGAGCCCTGGCTTAGACCAAATATCGAACAAGATGCTAAAAAAGATGGGTCTATACATGTTACTGAAACTGACCAAGATTTTAAACTGCATGCCTCATTTGGGCCACTTTCCTGCAGCCTGGAAGGTCGCAGTTATATCGCCACTATTGCAACCTGGTAAACCCTCAGACAACATTGTTTCATACAGGCCTATCAACCTTTTAACATGACTCAGCAAGGGCGCCAAGCATATAATATTGGAAAGATTGCTCAACTACGTAGAAGAAAACATCCTCATCAATGAACAGCACGGCTAGGAAGCACTCTACGGTGCACCAATTGTACAGAGTAACTGAGATTATTTCTAGTGGCTTACAAGAAAATACTACCACTACTGCTCTGTTTCTCGATGTAGCCAAGGCATTCGATCGTGTCTGGCTTGGAGGCTTAGTCCACAAAAGTATCACCCTGGGAATACCAGGCTACATCACAAACATCTTACGTTATTACCTTATAGGTCGACAATTTGTCGTTCGTGTCAACAACACAATATCCACTTCTAGACCAACCCGGCTGGAGTGCCCCAGGGGTCCCATCTTGGGCCCCTTTTATTCAATCTTTACACGAACGACATCCTATAGATACCCCACACGACTCTTGCACTCTATGCAGATGACACTGCGATTCTCTCACAAAATGCATCTTTGAGATCAGCCGTTTCAACACTACAAAACCACATTCACTTACTGGAATTCTGGCTAAATGCCTGGAAGGTCCAAATAAATGTACAGAAATCAGATGCCATCACGAGAAGGAGAAAAGACATCAACCTGGAAGTTCAACTCCAAATGTTTGGAGAGTCAATCCCCTGGACTAAGCATACCCATTACCTAGGCGTTGTTATAGATGATCAACTCACATGGCCCCCACACATTACACATATACTCTCTAACTTCCGGGTACGTAAAAGAACTTTCCCCCTTACTTTCTCGGAACTCTGCGTTATCTCTAAAATACATGTTACTGATCTACAAAAATCCTTTTGTGTTCCATGCTTACTTATGCCTGCCCTGTCTGGGGATATGCTTGCCAAACGGCGATTAATAAGATTCAAGTTGCACAGAATGTTGCTCTTAGAGAAGTGGCCAAAGGCCGCTGGTTTATTAGAAACTCGGCCATTTATCGAGTGCCTGAAAGTCAGGAGTACATGGTCAAATTGACAAAAATATTCTATGACAACATTAGTAGAGTCCAGAATCCCACTATTCGCATGCTTTACTACGACCCTGTCAGTAACGTTAACAAAAAAAGACTTCGAGCAGTGCCCAGGCACCTCCCTTAAATTTTGTATATAACGTAAATAATTTCTGATAAATATATATATTTTTTATAATCGTATTTTAGTAACTCTGTTTATAAAACTGTGTATTATCTGTGTACTTACTTACTGCTGCACTCTTGTGTATTGTATGTGCTACTATTTTTTTTTGTTAGGGCGCAGCCCGGTCCACCTTGCAAAACAAAGCTTGCCCTATGACCCTATACGGGCTACGCCAGTAAAAAAATCACCACACAACTATACAAATACACGAGTCACATAAATGCCAATGGCTTCTTTATTGCTGTTAGTAATCTTCATAATCTTATGCGCTATTCCTCTTTGCCCTAAGTAAACCATTTTTCATAACTACTGCTACTATTTTATTAAACTACTAATTGTATAAGAGTTAAGTTTGGCAATTTGATGGCATTTCTTTTCGTGCACTTACCTCGCACTCTTCACTTCTACGCGTCACGACAGGTATACCTATTGGACTCGTTCGGCACATAAGACTGTTTAGGAATTTACTGCATAATTTTGCACCTGTGACACCTTGTTCACCGCTTCACCCGAAGTTTTTATGGACCTTTCTCACATATTAGAACTCTCACATGCTAGAAAATCGGCATAAATATTACCCTCGGGGTAGCGCTCCTGCGCGAGCACATGTATTGCAAGCAAACGCCTTGCCTCAGACGCCACAAGGAAGCACTGCTATATGTTATTAGTAGTGGGGAAGGAAAAAAAAAAAACCTCCATGAAAGCATGAAAGACACTTCCATGTATCATTTCTGCTTTAAAAGTTATCCTAAACTACCTAAAACACTTGTCATATTTTAGAAACTATTTGAAAACGTGCTTCTGTAAAAAGAGAAGAAATAATGTACTATTTTAACATTAATGGAATAAACGTAGATTTTAATTTTCTTTCAGATCATTTTAAAATATCTTTTTGGGATAGTTAACGAAATATCACTTGAAATATCATTGAGTTTAAAACTGCTCTGAACACACGAGAGGTCTAAAGTTAAGTTTAGAATAAAGGTTAATGTCTCACATTTTGAATACTCTGAAGTGTTGTAGAACAAGATGCAAGAAAGAAAAAGAAATTTTCAGTTGTATCTACGGAGCAAATAAAAACATCTTTCCTCCAATGCTTTGAGATACAATAGGGGTGTGTCCTACTACTTCAAATCAATTCATGCGAGAAACCGGCAAAAGCATTTTAGTTGCTTACTGCCTATGCCTACAAAGCTAGCTGTATGCGACGTTATTGATTTTTGAAATTTAGTGAGTTTTGTTTTTAAAATGGTTGTACTTAACAAGTGTTATACGCCTTTTATGGTGTACTCATGGACCACTATCAAGCTTGGATGTTATTATGCTTCACTGTACACGGGGGTGAGATTATCAATCAAATTTTTTGTTATTGAAATGCCTATGTTTTCTGTGATTAATCCAAATAATGATTAGTGAGTATACTAAAGCTTATTTTGAACAACCGTTATTCTATTACAGGTGAATATTTGAACAATTTGTGTTAGAAATGTACAAATGACTGTGTGTTATAAAATTTATACATACAGAGAAGAGAAAGCGTTTCGCTTAAAATTTTAAATATTTTATGCATTAATATATTTATGGGTGTGCACATTTTTCAACGTAGTATTAGACCTGTATGCTTTTTTATTTTATGTGCATATTATAATGTAAAAGAATGATCTTCCTCGCTTTATATATTTGTATCTCCGAGTAATGGGTCTGTAATGTATGTATGCACATTAAATTTCTAAGTCTTAAAATGGATGTGAATGTATTAAGGGCAATGAATTTTGTAACAACACTGACGTAAAATATTTTTTTTTTCCTCGAAATTTATGTAGGTTCGGAGGGAAAGCGGTCATTAAAATGAGTGCAAGGTTGAAGATGCAATTTTAATGCTGTGAATCGTTGGTAGATATGTATTATTCATATTTAAATGTTTCAAAGAAAGTATAGCAAGATCATTCTGTTTTTAAGGACAATATCGATTTTCCATTTTTAGTTTAATGGGTTTTACAAGCGTAATCTTATAAGTCATATGAAATTTCAGTTCTGTGTGTTGCATTCACTGAAAATTTTATGTCTTATTCTTACGTTTTTTAGAGTTTTGTTTGAATTTTTATTACCTTTTCATGAAAGATAAATAAGCTGCTATTGCACAACTAACTATAAAGCCCTCACTTTGCAAATTTTAGATGTAAAACTAAACATGATTATATATGTGATGACTGATACACTGATAACACAGCCAGAAATATTTTACAGTCAGAAAATTTGTAATTAATGTACCTACATGGTACCTACTGTGGATGAGGGGGAGGGACAAGGTGGATGTTTTGTGCTTTGAATTAGCCTAGCTATACAAACAAATGATATAATATATGAAGAATGAGAATATATCCTCTGAAATATGCATGAGAACTTGTACCATATGTAATTTTAAGGAGACAGAACTGATTTAGCAAAATCAATAAAGGGTGTATAACTTTAAAAAAGGAATTAAAACATATATAATTTATCCCTTCTGTTTTCTTATGGTGTAGTGATAGTTTGAGTTATTTATTGTGCTTTAATTTTCAAGGTTCCTTTTCATTTTAATGTATTTACATTATGTATTATATTAATATATATCATCCACTACTTTACAGATTTTTCATCTGCTTTTCATATGTTATGCACTCTACGTGATTGATGGAGGTGATTCTGATGAATTCTATAGTCCTTATTTTGAGCTGAACAAATCTGGTTAGTATGCTTTAGAGTACAGAAATTGTGTGTTAAAGAAAAATTGTATGATTAAATCTGTGTAAAATACTGTAATGTTGTGATTCTTTAACTTTATAAGTGAAGATTGCTTTTATTGGTACTTGTATACTATCACAACCATCTCATGAAATTTGGTGTTCTTTTACGGATGAAAATGTGAAAATTACTTAGCATGTGCAAGTTGGTGGTTTTTGCGCTTTCTTTTTTAGAAAGATTCTCAGACTGTTGGCATTTATACTAAGAATGGTAAACAATATCAGCGTAGGAAAAAAAAAAAAAAAAACATGCTTTAGCAATTTAAATTACTGAATGAGGAGTATGTCATACATTAGAAAAATAAAACACTTGCATTCTTCTTTGAATTTTTGTGGGTTGATCTTTACATTATGGTAACTTGGCGTTATTTTGGCGAAAATTTGGCGACCAACTCTCCTACAGCAACCCTCTATTTTTTTTCCCGCCGCCATTTCGTCTTCACGAAGTAAGAAAGTTTCTGTTCTTTTATCTACTGAACACTTCTTCCAAACAATCTACTAGCCGAATTACACTTATGCTAGAAATTTTATCTAACAAAATGCTTAATCATGACAAATATTCACGCAAAATGGGAAAAAGTGCACATACCTACTCCTTACGCGTTTTTCAAAATAACACATACACATAAACCATGTACACGCAGACTTATTTTACTTAAAAAACATCCCAGAATTCACAAAATGGCATTGCGCACACTCTTCACTATATCCATGACACTGCTTTTTCTCACAAATTAGAAAAATTTCACGAAAAACATGACAATTTTCTCATCTTTAAACCCGGTAAAAAGAACATATATGAAATTACCTGATCGCGAAAAGTATTTACCTTTCCAAATATGAACATTTCCACATAAAAATAAATAAAATATCCAAAAACTTTTACCTCTAAATCATCTATTACATTATACACGTCACCAACGAATTCATACCGCAACCATTACAAATACTTATTGTCAGATATTTAATTATTTCCATGCATGTTTACTTCAACTAAAACGTATACCAAATTCCTACAAACAAAATTCACAAAATAACTCATTTAATTAAAATATAATTAAATTCAAAAACACTACTTAAAATATAAATGAGCACATACATTAAATTAATACATACATAAATACCCATTTTGAATTCACTTTTTTACGGCCATGGGATCCAAAAATTCAGGAACACTGTTTCACACAACACAGAATGAAGCCAAATACAAAATTCCAGTTTTTTCCGATTTCCCCCCTTTTCCGATTAAAGAACCGTATCGTTCCATTATGTCCATGACATATCGCATGATCTCTCATTTCCCTCACACAAAATAATGCGTAATCGGAACTGAGTACTGCTCACATTATTACCAAAGTGCCAGGTAGTAACCTTTATCGCCTACAAAATGTCGCCAAACTACCAGTTACCATATTGCAAAGATCAACTTTTTTGTGTTATTCTTCTCCCAAAGTACACAGTGATCTGCTTTCACTTGAGAAAAATCAGAGAATTGCAGAGATTCAACTTTGTGCACTCTTTGGCTATCACGCATTTCCTCCTTTAGAAAATTCCCAGCAAAATTGTGTATTATTGCCGTTTACTAGTTTCTTCCATTGCTGGCAGATTCCACAAGCTCAAACTTGAAAACTAAGTAAAAAATATCACAATTTGTGTATAAAAACCATTGAAATTTGAATGCAGCAAAACAGAATGTATACAAAAATGGCATTCCTTAACTGGAATGGTTGTTATGAGCATGGTTTCCGGAAGAATGATTATGCACATCATTGCCAGATTTAGCACTTTCTGAAAATTTGCCTACTTCTGCTAAGCAATAGTATGTTAGTACCCTTTTATTTAACTTGTATTGGTGACAGCACTAACCGTTAACTTTAGTATTTAATTAAATTTTTCATTTTTTTCATTTTAATTTATAACAAATGAAGCTTAGCTTGAAAAATCACTTACAGGCACTTGATTATTGACTGTTTGACCTTTAACAAGTTCATAGACCACAGTTTTAGAATTCCTTCTGTACTATATATTTTATTGTCATCTGTCTTAACTGGCAAAGTTTGACTTAGTTTTGAAAGCCATAACATAAACCATTACGTTATGCCTCTCCTGCCTGAGCTTATTTATGCAGCACAACAAAAAGAATTGCAGACTGCTCTAAGTACTGTTCTACATCAAGTTTATGATGCACCATGGTATGTATGAAATAATAGAATACATGAAGAGTTATTTGACTCGTAAGTGTCCGTTACAAACTGGCTAAACAATTCCATGAGAAATCCCGATAAATTGATAATTGAGGGCATATGATGGGGACCTAAAAGAAGTAAGCAATTTTAAATGCACAAAATGAAGTTTTTAAATGACAAGCAGTATAATAATGTATGAAAATTTCATTAAGTTACTGAAACACCATTTTGCCAGAGAGATGACGGCAGGCGGAAAAGTGCTTTTTAAAAAAATTTGTCGTGTTTATTCATAAAGTAGTTATCTAGATGTTCAACAGTTTCCAAAGAAGTGAACTCCATGCCATTCAGAAAAGTCTGAAGTATCTGTAAAAATGAAAATCCAAGGGTGTGAGGTCCAGTGAATATTGGGATGATGCAAAGCATCCCATCCTTAACCAGTAAGTGTATGTCCAACATTCATCAAACCATTTATATGTGCATTGTCATGATAGAGACAGCGCTTCGATGATTGGCCAACTTTGGGTGTTTTGATTTCTGCTATTAAGACTGCTTGATTGCAACAATTCATAATATGCCATTCCTTTGTAGTTTAATACACAAAGCATTGTTTTTTTTTGGGATACAGTCCGAATCTTACTAAAGGTTTTTTTAGCTGACCCTATGAAATTTTTCTTGTAACATTATTATACTCGTATATCTACTTCTCATCTCTAGTAATGACCCATTTAAAAAAATGGAGCTTATTTATTTTTTCTCAGCAAAAAAATATATACCGAAACTCGAGCAAGCATATTCTGCTCTGTTAAAGCATGAGGTACCCTTACACAAGTAGCAATTAGGTACATAGTCTCCTTCAAAGGAACATGTACTGAACTTTTTGGAATATTTAGTTTATCAGATAGTTCTTGAATTGTATAGGGATTTTCAGTGATAACTGGTTTTATTAAGTGCATGTTTTACAGATGATGGTCTTTGAGAGTGAGCATTATCTTAAAGGCTGAAATTTCTATGCTTAAACATTTTTAACCATCTTTAAATCGTGTCATCAGAACCAGCACTTTGCCCATATATAGCACACATTTTTGTATTATGTTTTGAGTTCTTCATTCGTAGCATTGCTCTGAAACAAAAACTATGTCACAACACATGCTAGAGTAATACAAAAGAGAGTGTGCATTAGTAATACAAAAGTGAGCGGAAAAGGCCGTTTTCAAACATCTGCTTTGATCAAGGTCATTTCTTATCAGTGGTCACAAAATAATTAGGAATAATAATTAAAAAAAATTTTATTGGAAAATGTGCTGAATGTTCTAGGTGACCTAGTACATGTAACCAAAATCAAATCATCGGTTATTTAAAAAACAGAAGTAATATGCTAGTAAAAAGTGCTTTGTAGAATAAGTTTTCAATTTAATATGAAAATCTGGGAGATCAATTTATATCTTTATTTTTTTTAACTCTGATTTAAAAGTTGACATATTTATAAAGCTTTCAATCAAGTTTCTGTGTGATATACTTTTGATATTTGACTGTATATGGAAAATAAGAATCATTTAAAGATTTATACTGCTAAAAGTATTTCAACCGTTCTTATAATAAAACTGAGAACCACAACTGCACATCATAAATAAGTTGCGGAAAATGAACTGTTTGGTGTAGCTTGTACTGTTAGCAAGAAGTTAAAAGTGTATAAGAAATGAGGAGGCATAGTACATGTGTTCATTGGCAGATATTTGAGAAATATAGTTCAAACGTTACTAGTTATACTGTATAATAGAAGGGGAGAGTAACTTTGACTCTTAATAAAAAAAAGGCGGGGGGGGGGGAGAGAATTTTTGGAAATTTGATTTTGTTTTGAGGAAACCGCAGCAAAAAAACAAATAAATATGTTGTTCTTGATGCAATAAATTGATTAATTATTGTAGGATAATTATCATTACTGTTTTGAATACTTTTAAGTAGAATTCTTATTTTCTTATTTTATTTAGGCTTTCAGATTTGTCAAAAAAAAAAAAAAAAAAAAAAAAAAAAAAAAAATAATCTCCTCTTTAAAAAAATTGCCTCTTGATAATTTACCTCATCTAAAAAGATTTAAAAATCTTACTATTCTTTATGAAGAGTAAAACTGGCGGTACATAATAATTTAAATAAGAGAGCACCTTATAATATGTCCCTTCCATCTTACAGTTTTATTAAATATTCTATTTGACCTGTTTTTAAAAAAATCTGAAACACACTTCGATTTTGCTCAATGATAATGTATAAACAAAATTTGTGCCAATCATTCCTATGGAGAAGTGCTGATTAAGATGACAAGAAATATAGGTAGTAGAAATGAGTGGAGAAGGCGTGACTTCGTGGATCGCACAGGTAATGCCCTAACTTGCTAACCAACTTTAGAATTAACTATCACAAGGGCATTAATGCACTGCTGAGTTTAAATGGGTGTGTAGTAGGTGATGGGCTATTGTTGGGGATGAGACTTGTTTGATATCACAGTTATGTATTTGTTATGCAACATATTCTGTAGTACATGTTCATCTGGGCAAATTCCTGATTTATTAAATCATTCTGTTTCTAGCCTAGTATATTATTTAGTGCATTGCAGACAGTGCTTAAATTGCACCGGAGTCCGGCTCTGGTACTTGTCAATTTTTAAGATCAATTACAATTTTAGCTGGAGTGCAGCGGAGCCTTAAATATGATGAGCTCTGGTATTTCTTTTCATAAAACTGAACCACAATTGAAAGGGGAAAAA